GCACCTGTTACTAGTAGTAAGGCACTTGTTCCTAGTAGCTTCTTGTTGCTACTAGTAAGGCACCTGTTACTACTAGCGTAGCACTTGTTACTAGTAGCGATTTTGTCATCTTTTGTCGCTATAGCCTTTAGATTTCTGTAGCATTCTGCCCATAGATGTCTCTAGATGTAGGACATCGGAGGGGCCGGAGCCGGGAGCCACATCAGAAAGAGCAAAGGCACGGAGAAATGTTGGCAAGCGACACTGTGGAGAAGGTGAAGAAAAAGAATAACAATGAAAGCATGCTTCGAAATGCCAAATGACAAAATTCCCCAGACCGCCAGGATGCAGTCGAACCCGCTGCCAGGGAAGGAGAGATTGATTTAAATTAATCTTTCGAACAGTTCAATTTTCGTGCTAGAGCCACAGGAACTGATCTAGCTAGCGCTAGCTTTCATGAAATCCGTTTTCCATTGTCCACTTCCATTTTTTGTGGAGGGTAGCCGCTCCGGGCATCAGGCTGAGCATCTGATCCACCGGAAGCAGTCCGTGCCAGCCTGGGCGAGTCTGGCAGTGCTTCAACCAATGATGGTCAATCATTCTGTGTGACATTAGGGAACAAAAGAAAAATCGGTGACTCAGTCTAAATTGTACACGTTCAGAACTCGGGAATGTTCAGGATCACTGGCGTTCTCCAAATCACTCTTAACTCCGAGGTCCGGGCCTGAAATCTCAGGCTCCACATCCCACTGTGGGTGGTGCCACGACTCAATTGTGGAGATTCGCATACGCACGACTGGCTGGGTCATTCGCTTCTCTCGTGCACACGTTCAACGGACGCATGATGTGCAGCAGTCTCTGTGCAGCCCGAGCTACCAGGATGGGTACGATGAGGACACACCGGTCACCCACTGAGACCTGCATGAACTGTGAGAGATACTATGGATAGGCTGGACAGGTGTGGTTATAGTATCAAATAATCAAATAGCATCAAATAGCTATTGCGTCACTTGCTGCGATTCATGGTAGGCAACGGTCAAGCGACTGTGTCTTGGTTTCATGATGTGGTGCTTCAGGACCTAGGACGGAAACGCCCCAACCCTGGTGAGACGATGAAGTAATGTGACGTGACTGATAACTTGAACATCTGCCACAACGCCTCAGTAGGAGCAGTCTCCACCCCCAGCTTGTTGCACAGCTGGAGCAACTGATGCAAGCGATGCATCGAGTCCTGGCAAGTCCTTCTTAGAACTTCAGGTAATTTGTCTCTGCGCGTCGCGTGAGCATGCCCATCCCGACAGTCCTCTTGTGCGTTGCCCCAAAGCCTCAGTGAAAGTTTCGCACATGAAGCTCTCTGGCCAATTTTTTTGGGGGGGTGTGGCGAGACCAAGACATTTTCGCCCAACGTGATCTCTTGCCACTTTGATTCATCGGCTCGTCACGGCTCGTCTTTACCTTCCTAGGCTTCTTTCAGGAGTGCTTGCCCGACGATGTTCAAGCTGCAAGGCTCCCAGAGGGAAGGAGACGCACCTCTGCCCCCCAGCCACTCCGTCTGTCGAATCCGTCTTCTGCATTATACAGAGTAGGTTTGTGAAGGTGTCCAACTATCGCTGACGATGCGTGACGCTGCGTGGCGCTGCACGCCGACGCGTGAGAGTGAGTTTTAGTGTGGGTGAGAGTGAGTGTGAGTGAGAGTGAGAGTGGGTGAGTGCGGGCGGGGGTGGGAGTGAGTGAGAGTGGGAGTGAGAGTGGGAGAGTGAGAGTGAGAGTTAGAGTGGGAGAGGGAGTGAGAGTGGGAGCGTGTGTGAGTGAGTGAGAGTTGTTCTTTCTTCTCTTGCTTTGAAAGCCGTAAAGATTGATGTAATACGTTCTGCATGCGTCTTCATGCGTCTTCGTCGATAATTAGGACCCCTCTATCGCCAACAATGTCATTTTCAGTCGACGTAATGCCCTTTGCTACTACTAGCTTCTTGTTCCTGGTAGTAATGCCCTTCTTACTAATGGGCGATGCCCTTGTTACTAGTAGCTTCTTGCTTCTGCATCATGTTCAGGATATCCGGCCCTTGCTCTCCGCCCTGCCCACACTGTGGCCTTGGCTCAACCAGCATTGAAAGCCAACAAATGTCTGCTGCATGTCTTGAATGCTGAACGGCTTGTTGAGGATTCATTCGCCGCAAAAGCCGTGTGTCGTCCACCCTCTCTGTTTGCAGCACGCCTGCGTGCGCACATGTGTGTCCTGCATTTGTTAAGCTATATCCTTCGCATCGTGCGTGCATCATAAGCCAGCTTTCAAAATATATATATATATATATATTTAATCTACGTGTATCTACAATCCTCTGATCAGGTTGGAGCTGAAGCAACCTTGTTTTGAGTTGAACTCTGACGCAGGTACAGGTTGATCTCTAGACTTCAGGCTGCACGGGATTGTTTGCAGCCCTCAAAGCACGCTCTCCCTCTCTTTTCTGTCTCTCTCTCTCTATCTCTATCTCTGTCGTTTCTTTCTTTTCTTTCGTTCTTTCTTTCTTTCTTTCTCTCTCTCTCTCTCTCTGATGTTGGTGGAGTGAATCGCAAAGGGCCAAGGAAGGCCAGCCTAGTGGACTAATTATACAGTACATCAATGATCGAAGCAGCAGCGGTTGAACACCCGAATCAAAGGAACGGAATGGGCTACCTAAAAGTTTGCATGAAAGCCATGCCAATGCCATATCATATCATCATATCACTGCCATATCTCCAACAATGAGCTGCGTGCTGAAGGCCTGGAGGAGTGTGGGTAGCTCAGTGTAGCCACCTTACCTTTCGTCAGCACCAATGTCTTCAATCTCGCTCCACGCTTCTTGCCGCAGCTCAAGATCTTCATGTGTTGGGCCGGGTGAGGCCCTCATCCGGCATGTTGTCTTCCAAGTTCTCGCACGATCGCTCAGCCCCGAGAACAGTGTGGGTGGGCATTATATAGCCGCATCAGCCATTAGCAGCTGCAATTCGAGCCGCCCGAGCTGCCGGGAGACTGCAATTCCTCGTCTCCACATCGCGCTCTTGGGGCCCGGACTCGTGATTTCCAGGACAGTAAAACACCCGTGCATAGCGTTCCTGGCCGACATGAGCAAAAACAAGGCCTGCGCACGTTCCTACCCTGAGTTCATAAGTGCCCTTTGGTGACTTCTGTGCGCATGTCGATTGCGAAAGTTGCCTTGAAAAAGGTCAAAGTCTCGGTGATGATCTCCCACTTGTGAGAGATGTCCCCCGCCACCTAGAAAGGGATCACACTGCCGCACCTTCCCCAAACTCAAATCACAACAAGTCTCATTCAGCTGAGCTCAGTTTGTGCCAACTAGAGAGCTCAGCAAGCGTCGCAAAATGGGATGTGCCACCCTGGGTCACCAATCGGCACTGAGCGGCAATGATCACATCATCAGCTGTGCTCTCGGTGTTCATCTCTTCAATCCATTCCTGGCGGGTCGGTCGCTTGCAGTCCCTTCCAGTCCCTTTCCCCTTCCGCGATCCAAAGACCTTGTTGTGATGATCATCCGTGTGAAGATCTGAGATGGCCCAAATGCGAACCTCAGCGCCGGACCGCCCTTGGACTGCCCAAGCAGGAGCCAAGTCTGAAACGAATTGATCTAAGGTGTCCACTACTTTGGTATGGTCCACGTGCTTGGCACGTGCCTTCAACTGACTGATGCCTTGACTGCCATGCTGCAGAAATCGGCGGCCTTTTCTGTCTTCCCACGCGAGGAGCAATCATCCTGTGCATAGCCGGCAGCCGGAACCTTTCAGCTTCACGGTTTCACAGATCAGATCCTTTGGAATTCTCTATATTATGTATGTATTTCGAGAATGTTCAGCCTTCGCTTCCAGGGCTCTCTCCAAGTCATCGAAGTCAAACATCAAAACATGTGGAGCAAACCAGCAATTGTCGCTCCTGAGTCTTATGTGTGGTCAGCCTGCCCTTGTCTCTCTCTTGTTCCTACCATCTGTATCGAGCGGAGCAAGTAATCGTGCATTTCTGCTGCAAATTCATCTGCTCCGCAAGGTGTTTGTCAAAAAAAACAGTGGTTCTTTGGCCGTCAAGTCGTCAAAAGTGTTCATAAGACTTGATGTTGCAGGGAGTGTTGCAGGGCGCAGTTGTGGAAGCATGTGGAAACCCATGACTCAAGCTTGGGTAGCTTTGGCGCGGTCAAATATCGTAGCTTCTTGCAGGCACACAAAATCCTAAAATACACCCCTCTGCCTCTGCTGTTTCAAGGCAAGCAGTCATGCTATGCGCACATGAAATACAAATAGGGCGTTCGGAAGTCTACTTTACACTTCGCTGGGCTTTGCACGAAGTTTGCACCCTTGAGGCCCATTTTGGGCCTGGAAAGTGCAACATTAGCTTGCAAACTGTGGGCTGGGAGGACCACAGTCTCATCAAAGGTCATCAGGTCAAGTCGCTCAATCAAATGCATCAAAGGCAAAGCCGGGCAAGCCGGCAAGTTGGTTTAAAATGTGTGCCTCCCTCACAGTTCCCTCCTCAGCTGAGGCAGTGCTGAGATCGAATTGCCTAACGGCCGCCACCGCAATCCTCAACCACAGAGGTAGGTGCTCAGTCAAAGTTCATCCGTCACTTCCTCGCAGCACAACAGAACAAACCACACAGCCACGAGTACAAGTATCACGGGGGCCATATGAGCAGGGACTGGGCAACATGTGCAAAAGTGTTTGCACCATCCTTGTTTGTAGCCCAAGGATCTTGAAGCCAGGGCAGATTTGGCACGTGCAGCCCTCTGAGCCAGGACAAAGAGGTTCGACCCAACTTTTGTTCCACGGCCACACGCACCTGCAGGTTGCTTAACTCTTCTGATCTACTCGAACATCAAAAGCTCTGAAATGGTTCCTCAGGGCATATACACACAAGCACCCAGACCTTCCCTCTCCCACTCCCCAATCTAATCTAATCTCTTGACCCCTCTGTCTCTCTCGGTGTTGTAGTTACAGGTGAACGGCCGACTCCTACCGACTATCGCACCTGTTTTCCTTGAGCCAGAGTAGTAGCGAGTGAGACGTAGTCTATGGTACACTAGCAAGCAACAACACCCCCCGCTGAACGAAAATGGGAGGAGTGAAGACTATGTACAGTGAATTAGGGACCTACAACGGCAACCGGTCCCCCGGCACGTGCGATTCGAACGAAGCCGGTTCCAGCCTTTGAGATGGAGAGGATACTTGACCTCAATGGCACAAGGAATCACTGACATGTTGATACTAGTGTTCACTCGCAATCTATGTCCGTACACTTGATGAGTCAGCTCAAGAAGAAACGGCACAATTCTTTTGACGCACCGGCGGTAAGTGCATGATTGACCTCTTAGAAAGCAGGAGCAACACCGGTCGGCACACGCTCCAGCGTGGCGAATCAGCACTACAAAAGTATGTGCGTCTCATGCCTTGCAATGTGATCGGTACTTCGACCATCAACATCTGAATTAAAGATTTGCTGGAGCAAAAGGAGAGTTCGGCATCCGGTCCCCTGGTGCAGCACAGAAGCGATCATCAGGGCAACCGCTCCCGCGGTGCGATGGAGGAAGAACAGTCTCACAGTTGAGAGCCATGCTGCCTATTGGATGTTTTCTTTTTGTTTGGGTTTTGGCTTTGAATCCACAGGCAACGACTCCCGTCGTGCGAATGTTCCTACCAGTTGCGTGAGCTCCACCAGTCACGGTTCCAGCGATCGTCACGCTGCCATTGGCTTGAGCGGCTCTGCCACCATCCTTGATTCCAGTCCCCATCGCGATGCCAAGATGAGGAAGATGATGGCCATTGGGACTGGTATTGCCAATCATGGTGCGCTCGTGCCTGATCCTGGGTGGCCCTCGCGAGGGCTTTTGCTGATGCGGAGTCTGCTTTCGCTCGAGGCACAACCATAGTCCTAGTCTCTTTGCCAAGCTGCAAGTCGACGTTCGGAATGAAGGCGATGTCCTCTGCGATGAAGTCGAGCAGAAGCTGGAGAAGCTCATCAGGATCCTTTTCATCAGTCTTCCACTCAGCGTGGAATCCCAATATTGGTGGGCGCTTTGCATTCTGAGCGTAACTTGCCGCAAAGACCTCAGGGCGATAGAGCCTATTCTTCCAGTAAACCAGGAAGTCCTCGCTCATGTCTGCCTCTCCCACCTTCTCAGGATCGTTGATGTAAATCAACTTCCCAGCATAGCGATGGCCGACACCCTGCATGATGATGTGGTGCGTTCTTGGTGGGTTCGGGATGACCGCGTTCGCCAATTTCTCCAAGAAGCTAATGCAAAGGGGAGACAGATCTTGCGCCGCACAGTTGACGGCATACAGAGGATCTGTCAGTTGTCTTTGCGAGATGCTCATGCCCATCTTGTCTGCTTTGTTCACATGGCTGCGAGCGTTAGACTTCAGGATGTTGATACCTGATCGCGCAGCTCGTGGATCATGGCCATGCGTCCCCGCAGGCGTGTTGCGAATGCCGGTTCCCTGCAGCCGGTCTTCTTGGACCATGTCAAGCGAGAGTTCAACGCCCATCTCAGCGGCGATTTCCTCCATTCGAATGACCTGGGCTGCTTTGCATAGGTCCGACGCGGTATTCAGAAAGGTACCGCACTTGCCACAACACATCGAGCCAAAGGTGAAGTGGAGTTCACAAGTATAGGGCAGTGCCCTTCAGGCATTTGAATCCCCTCCACCACAAGCCACTGTGTCTTGCCATAGCCCTCTTTCGCTGGATCGCAGGCTCGAAAGTCGAATCTTGGCCGGTTGTAGTTCGGCAGCATGTCCGTGGGGCTGATGCTATTGCGATTCGCCCGGAAATTTGGCCGCCGAGTCACAAACATAGTCTCCATCACCTTGAGATCCGGCAGATTCTTTCCAGCCTTCATCTGATCCTTGACACCCTCAACCAGGTACTGACCGCCGAAGACAAAAGGATGGAATGTGGTCACTTTGCCACACCACCGATCGTAGTCGTCGAGAACGTCTTTGGTGGAAGATTCCAATCTCGATGCGATCAACTCTTCATCGTCTCCGGCAAGCGGTCCCCCGCTGCGTGCTTCATGGAACGCCTTCTTCTTCCCCTGGAAGATTGCACGGTAATGAGCGTACACGTGATTGGCATACAAGTAGCACGCATTGGACATGTCGTACACAAACATGACATATCGACACGAGATCCAGTCAGGGCAAAGGATAGTACGGGCCGTCGTTTCCACGAGGCGATGTCCATGGACTGCCATCATATGCAAGTCAAGCGCAACGCAGACGGGCCGAGTTGATGCCATAGCTGCATAGTCTGTCGTGCTGATGCTCCATGGATCCTCCTTGGTGAGAAACGTGTACATGTCTCCGGTCCTGTTGCCCCCAGGAATCAATCCCATGTTGATAATGTCCTGAATGGAAGCGTGATGGGTGTAGTGATAGAGGGTGGTCGGCTGGATGTCCTCAACACGTCCGTGGGCATTCACTGGCACACGAGGGAATTTGCCGCTGTTGTACTCGGCAACGCCGTACTCCGGGTCAAGCACAATGAAGCGCTCATGCTCCGGCAATGCCTCTTCCACATTCTGGTAGGACCAGTCGTTGTGGCGCTGAATGGCTTTGAGGCGAAGTGGCGTGTATTGTCTTTTTCCCCCGACCAGAGTCCCCTTTGGCGCCACCTTGATTTCCATCATGAACCTGTGGTTGCTCGTGAGGACAACCAACATGTCATCGACGGTCAATGACTGCATGTACTTTTTCTTGATGTACACGCAGACATGGTTGAACTCCACCCAAAGACCCTTCTGGAATGCCGGCGGTGGGACGCGATTCCGCTTGTTGGTGTGTTCCCATCCCCGTAGCAAGCCAGAGATACGGCGTGACAGCCACACTTGGTCGGAGTTGAGGTGGTCCAAATTGGAGGCTCCGGGCACGGACCTGGACTGGAGTGCCACCACCTGGTTCTCGGAAAGCGGTGAAGTGGCCCCCTTTGGCATGGGTGGTGCCTTCGGCGGTGCCTTAGGCATCATCTTTGGCTGGACTGCAGGTTTCTCCGTGGCAGAAGTAGTTTGATCGGCCACGGCTCCCGCCGGGCGTTCCTTCGGTTTCGGCTGAGGCTTCGGCGCAGGCTTTTCAGTAGCAACGGCCTCGGCTCCCGCCGGGCGTGTGTCCGACGATGATGCAGTCTCCTCTGAGGACTTCTTGGATGCCTTGGGCTGGGGCTCTTGCGATGGTTCTTCAACATTTCTCTTGGCTGGTGGGCCATCGGCTGAGCGAATCTTGGTCCCCTTCTTCTCCTTTGAACCTGGGTCAGCTCCTCCACGGAATTCAGTGACTTGCTTGAATTCCTGAGGGCCTCACCTTCGAGCTCTGGGATCGCATCCTCATCAGTGAAGATTCGGACGATGTCTGGCTCTTCAGGATTGAGGGAGCTGATACAGCACCCCTTGCACTTTGAAACCTTCATCTCGCATTGAATCAGGTAGGTGCGTGAGGATAGGTTCATTGAACAGGATCTGTTCATCGGGGTCCTCATCGTCATCTGGCTGGTCGACATTTTCATGTCCTTGAAGTTCCGCCGCAGCGATGTGCGGTTCAAGCAACTCCAAGATTTGCTCCTCATCATCAAGAGGATCGTTCATCACCAGAAGTTCATCTTCCTCCGTTAGCTCTGGTGGCACGGCTTCTTTGTCACCATCAGCCGGAACAGGCACATTCGCAGTGACGAATTCCATACCAGCTGCCGAGGCTGGAGCCTGGTTGTTCTGATCGCGGCCGTCCGTCCCCGGAGGCGTGGTCGTAGATGGATCAAAGGTCTCATCGATCTCGAGGACCTGAGCTTCATCCACTTCCATCTTGTCATCCTCCTTTGGCTTGAACGACGATTCAGGAATACCCAAATCTGCGTCAGTTGGAATCAACCGTTGGCCCGCGGTCCCCCGCTGCTGATACGCCCTC